CTCCCTCCCTCCCTCCTTCCCACCTCCCTCTCTCACTTTCTCTCTTTCCATGTGTGTGTGTGTGTATCTCTCTCTTAACTCATTTATTAATTTTCATAAAATATAATACAGATTTTCATGAGTATGAAATAGGAATTGAAAGAAAATGACTTTTAAATTTAGGAAAAATATTTGAAAGTATGGCATATGTATGACAGGTAATTATAGAAACAATAAGAATTCCATTGAATTTAATTTCCTAAACAATTATTAGCCTTTTTTTTTTTTAAGAAAGTAGAATCGAAAAAATGAGCTAAGTTGCAGAAAGAACTATGGGCACTTTTCAAATTGTTAAGAACTTACCTGCAGCCAATTAAGATGCAGGGTTCATTTGCTGGTGGGTGTCCACAGTTCAGCTGCAGAGAGCAACCTCATGAACAGTGCATGCAGCCTGCTGCTTATATGGGCTGTCCTAGGAAACCTTGGGGACACTCTTTCTGGTGGATTCTAGTGTATGTCTCCAAGTGCAGAAGGTCATATGGAGTGTCATTAAGAAGCCTCTGGGTACAGAGGGAGGGTGCACATTGGATTCACAGGTCATCCAATATGATCATGTCACAGGTCTTCACGTGCATCTATCTCAGGCAAGCTGTGGAAAAAGTAGTATGTGATCGAGGCCCTAGAGAGGGCAAGTTCCAGATCCACAACTCAGAGAAATGGGATTTTACCAAGTTCAGTGAAGAGGAATTTGAAGGCATGATGGCTGAAAAGTGCCTCATCCTCAATGTCTGCTGGTTTAAATACATTCTGAATCACAGTCCCCTGGACAAGGATCACTCTTGAAGGCTTCAACTGTGCTGTCCACACTTAGCACATTAGAAATCCTACTCTGCCCCTCAAAAATAAGACAAAACAACAACATGTTATAGCAGTTTTTGTTTACTAATTTTATTTTTAAAATTTGAAAAGGAGTTGGTGAGATAGTTCAGTGGTCTAGGGCACCTGCTTAGGAAACTTAGTCAAGTGCAGGGACCATGGTTTGATCCCCGCACCACATGCTGCACCAGCCCTGCCCCCACGGTGGGCTGAGCTGGTAAAAAAATAATTAATTAATTAAAAAGTAATAAATAGATAAATAAATAAATAAAGCAAAGTTAAGACCATGTAACAGAATTTAAAGTGAAAGGAAATCTAGTTGTAAATTAGAATGGTACACAGATTAGAATGTGCCATCGTGGATTATAAAATTAGAAACCAGCAATACATAAATTTCTCATCATGGGAAAACAAGGACAAGGTATTTGTACCACATTCTGTGGTGGTTTTAAAACACTGACCTGTAATTTTTCCGTGTCCTCTCCTTAAAAGGTGTGGTATTCTCTTGAATCTGGCCTGTCTGTCCCTGCTTTGACCAATAAAGTGTCACATTTCTGACATGTGACAGTCTAGCCAGTTTCATTCTCTCAAGGCATTCTATTTTGATTTTTATGTAGTCTCCCATTAAAACACGGCCACCACGCTGTGAGGAGATGGAGCTACATGAAGCTGCATGAAGGGCTCTGCACTGGGCTGTGTGTCATAGTTTGATAGCTACAAAATTCCATTGCAGCTTCCAGAGACATAAATCACAAAAGCACCTTGGAAATGGGCATTTCACTCTCAGGTCTTTGTCCTTCACTGTTTAAAATTTCCTAGCGGTGGCACCCTTTTCTAACTCCTGATCCACAAAACCTATGAGTTTATTAACAAAATAAATGGTACTACTTTATAATCGAAGATTAAAACTACACTTTAGGCAGGAATAATAACTAGAGCAGCTTCTTTTTAGTCACTATTGCTTGGATTTTCCCAGTCCAGGCTCCAGGCATTGGGGAACAGATGCAAGCCATACCCACTGTGCCCTTAAAACTCTCTGCTATGTAGAACCCATGACGATTATGAACATGTTTGCATGACTACCTGGAGGTGGTTTGCTTTCCAGAAATAACTAGAGCATAAAGTCTTTGCAGATGTAATGAAACTCAGGGATGTCTTTGCCACAAGGCATGGATGCAAAGAGGGTTGCTCACCCGTTTGGAGACTGCGGAGGGTTCTCTGTTGCTATCACAATAACAAAAAGTAGTAAACATTGAGCACAGAATTATGGGTAAATTCACTCTGGATCAATTTATCTGAGGAAGTTGACCTGGTTTTCATAATAAACTAAGAAACATTCCAGCAGCCCTTGTATGCCATATACCCATTGTTTCTCAATAAATATAAATATTAGTCCAATTTTACATATAAAATACCTGAAACTCAAAGAAAATAAGATGGTTTCACAAATGCATGAAATTAGTTTACTATAGAATAAGTATATATGCACACAGCCTATTTTGAAACTTCCTACTCTTAACCCCTTTATTATCATGTATTCCAATTAAACCTAGAGAAAGTGTCTCAAGTAAGATTAAACACTTGGCTACAGATTTTGTTTAAACTAAATTCATGCTTCTTAACTCTGGTTCTATGCTTCTTCATTCACTGTGCCTCTACAAATGGCTCTATTAATAATCCTTCTACTTTTCTATGTGAATTGAACAGTAATTAAGTTAATTAAAATGTGTTTGTCTAAAAATATAAGACTGAAAACCTACACCACAAGTATGTACACTGGGCATAGCAGGATACCAATCAGGGGTCATTAAATAAAGTTAATTAAGGACATTAAACTGTTTCAAGGCATGGTAATCTGACCTAAAAATGTACAACCTTTTCTTGCTCTATTAAATTTGAATTGTGCCCTTGTAGATATCTTCCTCTTAGAAAAAGCAAAAAGATATCTGGTAGTAGAAAATTAGAACATCAGGGAATATTTACAATTTCATAGAGATGTCTTATTGAACTTACCCCAAATAGTTTTCATTGCACATATTGTAGCAAGATAGAAGTGCTCATGAAGAAAGAGCAGTGTTTTCCCTGAAGGTTGAACTCCTTTGACTGAAACTCCTTTACCTAAAGCAGAGCCCATGAACTAGTAAAATGCAAAGCAGAAATCACATTAACAACTCAATCAAGGGCTGGCCGAATAGCTCAGCGGATTAAAGCACCTGCAAGCAGGTGTAGGGGCCGTGGGTTTGATCCCTGGGCCTGCTGTGCACCCGGGGCTTGTTGAGAGGGCAATTGAGACTGGGCGTGGTGGTGCGCGCTTGTGATCCCAGATCTCAGGAGGCTGCAAGCAGGAGGATCACTGTGAGTCCGATCTAGTGGTGAGACCCTGAACATCCTTCCCTAAAATAAATAAAAAACAAAACAAACAAACAAACAAAAAAAACTCAATTCACACTCTGTTAATATAGGCTCAACTGCTCAGCTTTGACACTCCTCCTGTACCCTTTCCCCCTCCTGTATTCAGAGAATCAACTGTTTCAAATGACATGTCCCCTGTCATCCTCTCAGACCTTTGGACATGCACCCTCTCTTCTACACTGGCATGCTGCATTTGAGCTAGCAGTAGGTGCTGTATGAAACAATTCGTGTGACATTTGATGTGTCCGAGTTCTTTCTCAAGCATATTTAATATCATACTTTTTTCTTATTTGTGGTCCTATTCCTTTTAATCCAGAAGCTATAAATATCATTTGAAACAGCAAAACATTCTTTGATATTAATGCCCTTTGTTGTTACATATTTTCTTGATTTTTTCAGTTCTTTTTTTTTTTTTATTCATGCATGTTTGACGTCCAGGACAACAGTGTTGCTCTGGCGAGCGAGGCCTGTGTGCAGCAGCAGGAACCCTTTTGATCCCGGCCCCGGCCTTCTCCCCTTTGCTACCCCTCGCTCCTCACTTCGCGCTCCTGTTTTTCTTATTATTTTGCTCTTTATTTATATTTTGGATTTGTCATGTAAAAGAAAGCATCCAATCCTTATGAATCTGTTTTATTTTAATTTCTATGATTAACAGTCTTTAATGTAATTAGTCTCCTATTTGCAAAAATCAACTTTGAAATATATCTTCTGCAACTAATCTCTGTATCGATTTCTGCTTCCCCAATATTATATTCATTCTGCAAGTTTGATACAGCATTATTAATTTCTTTCTTCCTTTCTTTTAAGACAGATGAAGAAATGACATTTTTTGTAACAACATTTAAAAGTGTAATTTCCATGTGATCTTTTTATATATCTTTTATATTCTGAGGATCCTTTATATTTTATGTTGTGCATAATAGATTTTGTGTGCATATTTATATTAATTGTAAACATAATATTATACTTATGATATAATATATAAATATATTAGACTATTCCCAATAGCTAAATAATGTAATTTCAATTAAATGAATGTATGCAATATGTACATTTTAATTTAATTAATATCTTTAATTTTAATTCATTTTTTCTAACAGTAAAAAGTACATGTTTCATAGTAAAAAAAAACCTACACTGTGATATCATTTTATAAAGGTTTCTCTTGATAGAGGTCTTGACCATCTATCTATCCTAAGCTCCTGTCAAAAACACTTAGTTTTTGTACTATTAAATAATGAACTCCTCATAAGACATAAAAATATCACATCTGAACCACAAAATTCCAATTATTGCCATTGGTGGAAGGAACCATGTCTTTCTCATTGGTATTTCTTCAACAACTAGTAGCGCAGCTACATAAATATTTGTTGAAAATTTAATAGACAGCTTGTCTTCTTCTGTAGCAGCTACTATATAAATATTTATAGAGAAGATTGATAAACAGCTTGTCTTGCCAAATATTTCTTGTGTCTGCAATCCTTCCATCTAATCTTTTTTATCTGCAAGCTTTCTCCTAATATGGGTGATTTACTCACTGATTTGAGATTTATTTAGCTTCACAGTCTTGAAGCATTTCGGCTTAGTGAGATTGTTTAAAGTGCTAAAATGACAAAGTTAGGCTTTTGAGTCCAGTTTGATAAATCTTATTGTTCTAGAATTTCTAGGGAGGTGTTTATATGTTAGAAACATATAAACATATATATATGTTTTAAACTCTGAACAGATGCTGGTTTTTTGCAATGAAATTTTTTTCAGAAGTGAAAAATAGCAGTTTCCAGCCTTGTCAATAAAACAAGTATTGGCAATTTCACTTAGCAGTTTTAATGAAGGAATTGTAGCACTGTGTCTGCTGCAAAGTTCTTAATAAAAGCGCTTCTCTTTGTGAAGGGAATAATTATCACTGTGGAGTAAGCATAAAAATACCTTAATTTAGTTAAACAAACAGAAATAAAATGTAAGTTGGAAAATTTGTTGGAACATGACATATAAGATGACTTAGTCTAGATCTCCTTTACAGTGATCTCATTTCTAGTGAAATCTATATAATGGACTTCACATGAAGTTTTACGCCTGTTGTCTGCTGTGAGACCCTTCAGAGCCTGCCATTGGTACAAATAGCCCATAGCTTATGTGCCTACCTCTGCATTTGCCATTCTGACCCTCCAGGTCTTTTTAGCTTCAATTCCTTGAAGAAATGATGTCT